TGTTCCAATAGGAACTTGAACCTTGGCATAGACTAAGGTATTTGATGCACATTGTCAACCCAACAGGAGTCGCTAGTGTCAACAGGGGAGGTCTTTTTTTTTTTTTTAGGTTGCATTGCTTCATTGGCTGATTGATGGTAGTGATTTAGGTTTCGATTTGATGTTTTCAATTTGTTTTGGATGCCCTAAGCTTCTGTTTGGTTGCTGGGAAAATTCACCAAAGCCTTGAGAAAATTTGATCTTCATTGCTTGCTTGTTCGTTTTTCAGAATTAGGATGAGAAAATTATTTATCTTCTTCATTACCCCACCCAAATTCCCTCCATTTTCCATCTCATTTAAAAAAAAAAAAAAATCAAAACCCCAGGTGACTAAGAAATTTATAGTCTTTAATGGATTAAGAGAAAATAAATTCGCAATCTTTTTTTGCTTTCTCTTTTTTTTTTTTTTTCTAAGAAAAAGTCTTGAACTTTGAATTGAATTTCTGATAATTTAGTTCTTATTTTTTTACACAAATACTTGTTTCTATAGTTAATCGTTTGATATTCGAAGATTGTTAGGTGAGTAGAACCTTCATGCTTGATTTATTGCTGTGAGTACAAATGTGGGTTTGTTTTGATTGACAATTTGATGAGACAGACATACCTATATTGTAGTTGAAGTAGAAGGGAGAAGGAAAAGATAGTCGTGATGGCTTGTAGATGGTGCTTAGAGTGCTTGTTGAAGCTCCTTAACTTCTTGCTTACCCTTGTCGGTTTGGCCATGGTTGGTTATGGGATCTACTTGTTTGTTGAGTACGAAAGGGCTGCCGATACAACCTTGTTGCTGTCATCGTTAGTGCCTGTTGGTCCAGGTTCAAATTCAATGCAGCTTGGACGGCCCTTGTTTGTGTCTGAGTCTCTGGAAAGCTTTTTTGATAACCTTCCAAAAGCATGGTATGCTTGCTCTTCATGTTGCCTATAATTTGTTTCATGTTTCTGACTCTTGGCTAGTTAGGAAAGTGTCATCACCATCCAGATGAAAATGGTGATGATGGCTTTGATGAAATTTGATTTATATAGTTCAGATTAGAGGTCCTCTTGGTTGCTGGAAAGAATGAAGTGAAAGGAAAATGGATAGAAGGGAGCTAAAGGCTTATCCTGCATCTTCTGCTATTCATTTGGAAGAATCCTTGAAGACTCAAAAGTTAAATTTGACTAATTATTGAATTTTGGGTATTATAGCCTGATTTGATTATGTGCTCAAAGCCCCATAAGACTTACTTTCGATTATTCTGCTTGTAGTATTTGGAACTTGAAGGCTTATTAATCTGTCATTTGGAAGGGGAACTGATTCCCTTGTAGGCTTCACATTGTCAGGAAAATGGCACCATGATTCATGCATGCATATTTCCAGTTGATTTTTTTGATGACCCATGACCATTCTTTGGATAATTGGATTATAATTTCATGTGTGTATGTTATGCAACTGATCTGAAATCAAGCTTGCTTGGCTAATTCTGGGTGGTGATTGAGTTGATGCAATGTGAAGCTTGAGAAACAATAGTTAGTGTTGGCTTTTGGCAGTTACATCGTATTCCTTGTTCATGAAATGGGAAAGAGCTATCTATCTTCTGATGGTCATATTTATTGTGAAGGAGCCTATGGGTTTCTATGGGAAGTCAAATTCTTTATTTGACTGGAAGTCTGGGACAATATTCTAGCTGTGTTGCTTTTGAACTGCCCGATTCTAAATTTTGACTGTGTCTTTACAGGTTCATATACTTATTTATTGGCGTAGGAGTGGTTCTCTTCATCATCTCATGTTTTGGTTGTATTGGAGCTGTAACACGGAATGGCTGTTGCTTGAGTTGTGTATCCTAATTTCTTTCGTAATGTTGTGTGTGCGTAATATCTATCTGCCACAGCATTTCTATTTGCCAAATTGGTAATGATACTGATGTCATGCAGGTTTTATCCAACACGAGAATGTTAATAGATATATACATACACACACACACGATTTTTGTTGTGTTGATTGGCCTCCTTAAGTTTACATAGTATTCTGTCTTGGTGTTTTTGTTGATCTTGGTTGAGCTGGGATGTGCAGCTTTCATATTCTTTGACAAAAGCTGGGAGTCTGTAAGTTCTCTTTCGTTATGCTCTGTCATTCTCATTGAGTATGTTATGTTTGTAACCCAATTATTGGTATGATTGTGTTATAGGAACTTCCAACTGACAGTACTGGAGATTTTGACATGATATATAAATTTCTGGAAGAACACTGGATTATTGTTAGATGGGTTGCTCTTGGGGCTGTAGTTTTAGAGGTAAGCATCATGTGATTGGATTGGTAGCTTTGAGAAGTTGAGATAAGTTGCAGCAAATAAATGCTTCTGGCTAGTGTGCTTTCTTTGCATCAGTTTGATTTTGAGCAGTCTAGTTTTTATAATGATTAAATCTCTGAATTTGCCCCGTGCTAATGGATCAGAGTAAAATTGCAGGCTCTGGTTTTCTTCTTAGCCCTTATAGTTAGGGCTGCCAATAGACCTGCCGAATATGACACTGATGATGAGCTCATTGTGCCACGACAACAAATCAGGCAGCCTTTGCTCAGCAGGCCTCCACCTCCAGTCACAGGTGTGCCTGTTGCTGGCAGCCTTGATCAACGTCCCAGCAGAAGTGATGCTTGGAGTGCACGCATGAGGGAAAAGGTGACTTTTTAGTCTCAGTATCTTTAATTTTATAGACATGTTTTTGCTCCCTCTGGTAATCTTTTGCTCGTGCAGTTTTGAATAGACCAGTAATTCCATTAGATGGTTTTTGATATCAAAAATACAATTTGCTAAGTTTCAAAATGGTATCATGCTTATGAAATAGGAAAGTTTTAAAGCCCAAATGGTTCAAATTTTAACACATGGAGCCTTTAGTCCACATTCCTCCCTTCACATTTCTTAGTAGCTGCTATGTCAGAGAATGCTGATACATGTTTTTCTGAATGCCTAAACTATAAGACAAGTAAGCCTACCTCACCTGATCAACAAGTGCACAGGAAGCCTATGCAAAAAGTTTGGTTAAGACATGCTACTGTCAGTTCTCAGTTAATTATTGTGTGGTTGCCTAGGACCTAAGCTAAACAATTAGTGTGTGCAGTCTTGTTATACCTTCTGATAATTAATCCATTCTTTGAATATCCAAACATATAGTTTACTTAGGCGGATATTCATTCACCCTGTCTGTCAGACAGAAAATATGGCGACTGTCCTAGCAGCAGTCCTTTTTTGGATCATCTGATTGGATAACCTCCCCCTTCTATTTCTTAACACTGTTCTTTTGTTCTTCTCATCCTTAATTCTCCGTCAATTTTGTATATTTTTTTTGTTGTTTCTTGCTCTGATATTGCTGCTGTACTTAAACCAGTATGGGCTGGACACTTCGGAGTTCACATACAATCCATCAGAGTCACAAAGGTACCAGCAAGTGGCCACACAACCAGCAGAAGAGAGGAGCCGTTGCACCATCATGTGATGTTCTGGGCTTCAACCACTTATAAAAGTAGATGATGGATTTCAAAGATTATTTCTTGGGCAATGGCGTGAGAGCTTTGATATTTCTCAGATAACAAACGGTCTATTTCTCTTTGTTGAGTTTGTGTACAACTGAGTTCTGTACAATACACTCATTTTTCAGGAGCTTTGCTAGTTACAGACATCCTTAGAAAACAAATTGCTTCTGCCAAAATGCATTACCATTTTGTGTGTAAAATTGCAGTGCCCCCTAGGGTATGTTGTGGAGTTGGAGCTGAGATTTACTGCTCAAACCTTGAAAATCTCACACTCAAATTGAGTATCTCAGCATCGGGCTTGAGTTTTGACATGATTTCTCAGTGCCTTCAGCAAGCATAAATTTGTCTAGACCTGCCTTTCCTTTTTGACTGCTTGGATTTTCTGTATTCTTCTGATGGATGGAATATTGTTTTCCAATTTGTGATTGGATGTGTTCATGAAAACTGCAACGCATGAAAGCTAAGTTTTACTTAATCTTCGTTCACAACTTTTTTTCATCACACCAGTCCCGTCAAAGTCAGGCTCATGAAACCGATCATGTTCGAGCTAGGAGATTGTCACACATAATTCATTGTGACCACCCTTTTAAAAAGATCAAATCTTATCTCACCAAGCAATTTGCCTAACTGCAATTTATTAACGTGTTTTTAGTTTATTAGTCTATGATCTATAGTGACATGTTAGGGAATTATTTTGAAAAGCACTTACATATATTGAAGGAGATTAGTAGAGTCTACATCACCATTTGGTTTTGTTAAAAGCATAATTTGGTCAGGGAAGGTGGAGGGTCACTAAGCGCAAGTCATTTTCTTTGGTCTCCTTCTTTAGGATCTCTTCTTGGGTATACCATGGCCCTGCCCTTTTTGGGTTTTGTGGTCCTAATTTGCATGTCTAATAGCTACCAAAACAGAAAATGAGTTTGAAATGGTCTTGTTTATCCATGCTTTGAGAAGGACATTTCTCTGGGGACTATGTGCTTGGGTTTTGTACCATTTGCGAGTGAACCACTGTAGTGGATTTTGGTGATGCATTTCATGACCCAACAACAACAACTACTAAGATAGTGGGATGCTCTAAGTTATTTATTTATGATTAAATCTTTAATTTGGCCCTTTAATTATTGTACAGATCTTTGATTTGATCTCAAAATTAAAAAATCTTTTGATTTGGTTTATAATATTTCCCAATATGACTCCAAATTGATCCTTTTGTATAAAAAATAGATGACGAGTCTTATTATTAATGTTATATGTGGCAATTAAGTAATGACTTTTTGTCATTAAATAATGGATACGTTAATTATTTGTTAACAAAAAAATCAACTTAAAATCAAATTGACAAACAATGAAGACCAAATTAAAAATTTATACAATAGTTAAGGAACTAAAATGGAGTTTAACCTTTATTTATTTATTTATTTATTTTGTGGTGGGGTATTTGACATTTGCCGTGTGAAAAAGAAAGCATTTTTATTAATATTTTCTAGAGGTCGGCAAAAAAAAAAGGGGGGGATGATACTTGGAAAAACTATTATTTTTTAACAATTTTAACATTATTTACAGAAATATACAAAGAAGAGAAAGATGAGCTTCACGGAATTCCAACACCGTCACCCATGAAAATAAATAATTGTAACTTAAGGTCTAATATCACTTAACCGAAATGGACAATTCGATACTTAAAAAAATTATTGATTGCTAAAAGACAATCAAACAGTTTGTGAAGTGATATACAGCTATAGCCTAGATAGAGTACAGCCTTCTTTTCTTTTTCTTTTTTTAATTTACATTCGTTTTGGGCCAGAATTTTTCTCCTTTAAAGTTGAAAATGAAACCTGACAAGGTTCCGTAGGCCCACCAGAAAGTCCAAGACTTTGACTCTCCTTTTTTTTTTTTTTTTTGAAGCCACCAATTTTCCTTTTCTTCTACACCATTGTATTTAACTTTAAACCAGAACAGCGTATTCGGATTGAGTTGAGAGGAGAAATTTTTTTAATTTAATTATTAAAAAAGGGGAAAAAAAAGGGGAGAAATAAATTTTATTTTATTTTTTAATTTAATTATTTATCTAAATAAAAAAATAAAAATACATGATTCTTCTTTCCTCCCACACTTTCTTTTTTATTCTTTTGGTATTAATCCCTTTTTTTTTTATACATTTGGTTTTAATTTTTAAGTATTCAGTAATGATATTAAATTTTAACTAATTCGAAATCGAATAAGTTAAATTTGTAAAAGGAGGTTCTCTTATCATTTACTTTTACATTCATAATATTTACATTTAATATCTTATTTAAAAATTAATTTTTTTTATTCAAATTAATAATTCATTGATTATTCTTTTTGATTCTTCTCATCTCAAAAGTAAGGTAATACTTACCGATCACCAATCTCTTATTTTAGTGTTCAAAACGTATCAAATTACAAAACAAAATAATTAGAAAGGAAAAGATTTTAAAAATCTGACTCTCATTCAATAACTTCTGTTGTCCACTTGTCCAAACTGCATACCAGTTTTGTTTCAAGGCACTCACCTTTTAAAAATTAACTCTCATTACTTAAGTGGTAGGTGAAAAGGCCATATGAAAGCTGAAAAAGCAATCAAACGCCGCCGCCATGTGAGTTTTGTAAATGGTTACCGACCTCCCGCTTTGATGTTGATGACTGCAATGTGCTTTTTAGCTGTTGAATTCAATACATGGGCTTTTTCTTTCCTTCTGTACCATCTCCATTGTTTTCTTAAAGAACCCTTCATCCCCTTTTCCTAGTCCAAAAGAAAGATAAAACCCAAAATTATAAAGATTAAAGCTTTGAAAAGAGATGACTTGATGGAAGATCTTTGCAGTTTGGACAAGGATTTGTTCGATCCAGTGGAAAAAAGGCAAGTCTTTTTTAGTATTAGACTTTTCAAAGTTCTTAAGCACACTTTATCTGTAATCTTTATACACAAACTATTTCTTTATTATGATGGTATTCTATTCTACATTGGGATAGAAGTTTTTACTTTTTAGTGACATTGAATGATTGAAAAAATAAAATATTGTTCTGTAGTTTATATTGTTTTAAATTATAAAGTTATTTTGTTTAAGGCATTCTTCTCATTTAAGAGTATTGATTTAATTATTTATTATAGTTTATACTGCAAAATAAGAAATTTATAAAAAAAAAAAAATAGAGAAAATAATTATATTCTATCTGTGATTTTTGAATAGGATTATATAATGCATGCTTGTCTTTTTTTCTTGAGTGTAATGGATATGTGATTATGACATGAAGATAATTGATATATGATTAGGAACATAGCTGGTTTCATATATTTTGTAAAGTTTCTGGGATATCGAACAACGATAGGGATTTTATATTTTGTTTGAAAATTTTTGAAAGGGTTGATGTTACCAGAACGGACAATGACAGTGAGGTGGAAATTATGGAAATTCCAGTTCAATTCCAGTTCAAGTTCACCAAAAAAGCCAGAAAAATATGAGAAGACAAAAGAGTTCTTGACTTGTTATTCAATGCATTGATGATTAAACTCAACGTGAATTCTAAGTTGGAAAATTTTCAATTTGGAATCACCAAATCTCACAACTGTTGGACATCCACTGTACTCCATGTTTTCACATGCTAAAGCTTTCATTTTTCTCACTTCTCTTTTGAGAAGAATGAAAAAAAAAATTCCTATGTTTCCTCTTTCTCTTACTTATGTCTTAAGCAAAGAAAACCCCAAGAAATTACCAAGAGGAAAAAGGGAAGCAAAATGGTTTGACCTTATTCAGTTGAAACAAAGCCATTTCCCATCACATATAGTGCCATGATACCGCGTCTGTGGCCCCTTCTGTGTCAATTCTTTACAGAAAAAATAAGAAATCATATTGTGCGCAAACTGTTTGTTGATTTGTGTCTGTGATACCGTCCTGCCAATTGGGTCTATAACTCTCCTTAATGAAGGTTATTGTTTACTCTTGATTGCTCATTTGACTTAAATTTCTATTTTCTATTTCAAGTGTCAACCTTTCATTTTGTTTAATCGAGTTGTTACTGGTTCCAGGCAATTTGTATTGGTGGGTCTACGCAAATCTAGCCGGCTGATGGAGTTACCCATTTCTTTATTATATAGCTCATTCATGAAGTCTTGTCCTTTTGCTTCATAGAATTTTTATAGTTGCTGGTCTCAAGTCTCAATTAATGCTTGTGTTTGGCTTGTATGTCTAGAAGTTTCTTAAGGTTATTAATTTTTAAACTTGTGGTGCAAAATGTCTTAATCCTTTTGGATTACTCTGAATTGAGTTGAGGTGTGAATAGAGACCAATAATTTGAAGAATACTAGAAAAACCACTTGGCTTTTCTCAATTCTTAAGTGCAAGTGTGCAACTAGCTTTGGAGGTTGATTTTCTTGTTTTTTGCAGACTGAAGTCATGTATGTCCATTAGATATGGTGATACATTTTCTGTCTCCTTTCTTTTTGGTTCTGGCATGAATCTTCGTTGCGCTTGGAATCAAATAAGTGTACCTTGGACCTGGTTTTTTAATGGTCTGAGAGGGGATCTCCCTGAACAGCGACAAGTTTGATCTCTTGTTCCTGCTTCCATCTTCAAAGATCAACTCCCTGAAGTCTACCAGAACTTTGTTTTTCCTTTTTTTTTTTTTCTTTTTTAATTTCAAGAGAAGTGAGACAATGAGAACCAGGAGGGGGAAGCGTTCTGAGGTAAGCTTTAGTGCTCCTTTGCTTTTATCTGAATTTTTGTTCTTAAGGTTATCTTCATGGTTCTTTGATGATCTACTTGGGCAACTGCTTTTGATTTCAGGCCTTTTGGCCGGCCATTGTGATGAAGAAATGGTTAAATATAACACCTAAGGTGAATGATTTCAGTGAAGATGAAGTGGAAACCGAAACTGAGAGTGAAGATGATGGTTTGGTCATGAAATGTTTGCTTTAATATGATTGTCCCTTGTAATTCCAGTTTTGATTATATGTTTTCTGCAATTTCCTCCAGTGTGCTCTCTTAAGGATGAAAGATTGCATGGTGGAGTCTGTGAGGATGATATGAACAGAACCATTGGAAACCAATCCATCTGCAGAAGCCAAATATCAGGCAATATTTGTTATTATTATTATTATTTTCGTTTCTGTACTTTCTTTTTCTCAAGATAGAATCATTGTCTGCTTGTTTAAGCTTAAAAGCATATTGAATCTCATATTCATATACACTATATTCAGTTCTTTGTCCCCACTTCACTCTGCAGTGCCAAATGAAATTATGTCAATTTCCAACTTGCAATTTTCCTAATACATTAATTTCATTCTAGCGATCAGATGGCCTCAAATCTTAATCACCAGTACAGCCATCAGGAGTTCAGGAAACAGAAAATTTCATAAATAAAGCTATTAAAACAGATATAGTGAAGTATGGTTCAGTATTCATCAATATTCTGTTTTCCTGAGATGAGTAGTGAACATAAAAAGTATATTCACTTAGCATGATAATTTTTAAGAATTTACTTCTGAATTTTAGATGCTTTTCTTATGTATTTACTTTGTGAGTCTGAAGTCACAGTTTCATTGTCCAGAAACACCTCCAAAGGGCTATCAAACAAGACACCGGAGAGTAAAATCAGAAACACTGCGCGTACAGTACATAAATACAAAGGATGTGAGGTCTGGCTGTAGTAAGCTTACTTCTGCAACGCTTGCCTTTACCCCTTGAGGTTTTATTGTGTTGGTTTACTGAAATTCAACGTGGTTTTCTGTAGGGTCACCATAGCCACTTGGAATGTTGCTGGAAGGGTTCCGAGTAACGATCTTCAGATTGATGACTGGCTTTGTACAGAGGAGCCAGCTGATATGTACGTTATTGGGTGAGTATTTCCTCTTCCATTAGGAATCTCTATCGTTCTGATTTTACTAGTATTTGTCATCTCTTCCAATACTCATTTCTTTTTCGTATACTTTAACTAACCATAGGGAGTTTTTATCTATTGTTTATTTTTGAAACCCAGATTTAGCTTTTTCCTGAAATGCTCATCTTTTTAACTATGATGTTCTGTATTATTTTCCAATGTATTAATAATAATATGCTTTTCACAGCTTCCAGGAGGTAGTCCCTCTAAATGCTGGAAATGTATTGGGAGCTGAGGATAGCACGCCGATTCCTAAATGGGAAGCAATCATACGTAGAACTTTGAACAAATCTTTGGAGCCTGAAAGCAAACACAAATGCTATAGTGCTCCTCCTTCTCCAGTGTTAAGGACATCTTCTGTTGCAGATGTACTTGCAGATGACATAGATGATCTGCCATTTGAAACAATACCTGATAAATATTTGGAGATGGCAAATGGTCTTGATGAGTTCGAAAGAGAAGGTGTGCATAAAGTTGGTGGTATTGGAAAAAACCTACGGCTGCAAAGAATACATGGAATTGATTCCGACAGTAGATTAGACTGGCCTGAATATTCATTAAATGCAACCCCAGAAATTGTCTCTTCCAATTCAAAACTGAGGAGGGTCATGAGCAGTTCTGCAAGAATTGGCTTTACTTTGACAGAGAATCCGGTGCTATATGGTCCTCAAAATCTTCCTTTCCAAGGAAGCACATTGAAAAGGTCACACCATAGCTCTGGAGACTTACAGTCACTATGGAGGGATGAGCAACATGAGCCTGAAGTTGTGGATTCTTATTCGGATGTATCTGATGGATTTTCTGAAGAGGAAGATGATATTTTGGTTGAATTACCAATGGAGAATCATGAAAATGGAGTTGAAAACAATAGGCCAAAGCTACGGCCTAAATATGTGCGAATTGTCAGTAAGCAGATGATTGGAATATATATATCAGTATGGGTACGAAAGAGGTTAAGGAGACATATAAACAATTTGAAAATATCTCCAGTTGGTGTTGGCCTTATGGGCTACATGGGAAACAAGGTAGAAATGCATTACAAATAGATGGAAATTCCCTACTTCCATTGTACTGGATATCTAAATGGAGTTTGCACATGCAGGGATCTGTTTCTGTCAGCATGTCTCTTTTCCAATCACGACTGTGCTTTGTTTGTTCTCATCTTACATCAGGTCAGAAGGATGGAGCTGGCCAGAGGCGTAACGCTGATGTGAATGAAATTCTGCGGCGTACTCGTTTCTCTTCTGTCCCTGATGAAGCAGATCAACCACAGACAATTCAATGTCATGAGTAAGCAATCTTTCATCATTGAATTTCAATTTATGAAGTTTATAGTTTATTCATGAAAGAATTTGTTTGTTTGTTCAATTTATTGTGGTGGAATGCATAACGTACGAGCATAGTAGCATACCAAACAGATAAGTCCAGTGAATCTGCTATACATAATAACATTGTAACAATGACAGTGTAACCAGTTTTGCATTCAAGACTGCTAAAATTGAAGGTTAAATTAGACAAATTTTACGTAGATATGAATCGAAATAGTGACAGAGTTACACTTGAAAAGATAATGATTTTAGGCTAACTTTCAATTAACTTGAAGAGCCTAGGATCCCTTGATTTAATAAGCATTTGCTGAACTTCGACTTGTAGTAAGTTTCTAAGCTGGGAACTACTCTCTGTAGCCATTTCGACTTTTGAATCTTCTCTCCTATGATAGTATCTCTACATTGAGCCTGGGAAATGAATTTGTAAGAGGGTGCTTGTGTAAACAGTCAGATATTTTGGTTTGGAGATCTGAACTATCGCCTAAATATGTTGGATGTGGAGGTGAGAAGGCTTGTTGCTGTAAAGCGTTGGGATGAACTTATAAACAATGATCAGGTGAGAATCATAACAATCTAAGCTTGGCTGAGTCTAAATCTTGATTCAGTCTAGTTAGCCATCAAATCTTCTCTGCTTTTGAAATCATTTTGAACCATTCTGTAATAAGCTATTTGAAATTTGCATTTAACTCTTAACTGAAAGTATCCAGCAATTAGTATATATTTGCCCTCTTTTGATGAAACAAATTTTAATGGCTTAATTCTTGTCACAGCTGAGCAATGAACTCCGAAGTGGACATGTATTCAGTGGATGGAAAGAGGGAGTGATAGACTTCCCTCCAACCTACAAATATGACATTAACTCGGACAGATATGTAGGTGAAGACCCCAGAGAAGGGGAGAAGAAGAGATCTCCAGCATGGTAATTGCAAATGCCTTTGAAGCAGCAGGACTAGAAGATCTGGTTTTGATGTTAGAGGATGATTTTTAGGAAAAAGCTCAGATGTCATTGACAAATATATCATCACCAAACAATAAACTTCCATACAACTCATTAACTGATTATATATATTTTCATTTGGTATGTCATGCAGGTGCGACCGCATACTTTGGCTGGGGAAAGGCCTAAGGCAACTTACATACCAGAGAGCAGAACTAAAACTCTCAGATCATCGACCAGTTAGTTCAGTATTTCTGGTTGAAGTTGAAGTCTTAGATCATCGGAAGTTAGAAAGGGCACTTAAGCCCAGCACCGCTGCTATCCATCCTGAGGTTTTCCTTGATGAAGATGGAGATTTAGAATCCCAGCAGTCACAAGGTAATCATGCTAAAACAATAATGGGATAAAATAGAACTCACCATCTTCATGACTTAAGTTGTCAACTCTTGGAATTAATCTGCATACATCTAGTAACATATTTTCATGTCACAAACAGGGATTTCAAATCACTCAGCTAAATTTAAGAGGAAGTAAACGTGGGTTTTGACACAACAATGTCATTACCAGCGCAGCAGAGAAGAAATATTCAAGACTAGCTTGTGGTGATCATACCAGGATAAGTTGTAGAGGGCTCCAGTTAAACGGTAGAAATAATAAATGTTTGGCTTAGGGCATGGTGGGTGAATGTACACAGAATGAGAAGTGTGTATATATATATATATATTTATTTATTTCTTTTTTGTTCTCCCCCCCTCTA